GAAGGGGAAAGTGGTGAGAGTGCAGTTGCCAGTGGTGCCTTTCAAATACCACCACGATAGGACCACGGCTGACGGGTTGCGCGAGATCTGGGCAAAAGGACGCTGCGGTACAATGCGATCCGCAAGACATATTGGCAAAAGGAGAAAGAATTGGGAAACCACCTCATCACTGCATCAAATGTAGTGTTCAGTCATCCTCGTGAACATCAAACAATGCGCTTTTTCATCCTTGCCTTTCGCATTTTACTCTTCGCCTCAGTGTCCGCATCTCAGTCGATTGCAACTGCAACAGCGGACACTGAGAAGGGGAGTAAAATGCGAAAGGCGGTGGTGACTCGATAACAATCGATAAGCCTCGCAAAATGAGGTAGCTGATCCATACTTGCAAGGCAAAGTCTCAATCCGTGATGGTGGTAGTGAGATCCTTGAAGTACGAAGTTTACTTTTGGGCTACAAACAACAGGTCAGGCTCATTTTTACTGGAACATCATTCTGGATGTGCGCCTGCATCAACAGATGTTGCGAATTTTGTAGCTGCTCATCTCTATGCTTAGGAGCATGGGAGATGGATGCAACGTCGCTCACCCAATGCACACGCCGTATGATGAAGAAGCCGGCATGCAGATCAAGGAGGAGAGACCTCATAGGATGATGTGGGCGTGAAGGCTTCGTATAAATGCACTGTGTTGCCTGTCGAGAGTACAAGTGATGTGGGTGCGTATGTGCGACAGCATGGCTATTCGGTTGTGCCTCATTCTGTTGGCCACCTTAACAGTAGCTCAGAAGCAGCAGGAAATGGACAGTAAGTGTGTCATTTAATCTGTGTCCTATCATCAGACGATGCTAAGTAATGAACATTTCTCGGCATTTGTTAATGAGTATTAGTTCTGCCTTAGAGTAGTATGTAAATATCGTGTCTACCTCGCATCTACCGCCTACTTTTCCAAGCATTATCTCATACAGCATATGGAGGGTAGACATCCTCACTTTTCCTCACTGATTTCCCGTTCTCTGCGTCTAACCCCTGCAACTTACTAGTTTGTCGCCTCTCTGCTCCCCAATTCATTTGCGGCGTTGACGACAGCCTTATCATTTCGTTGAAGGTGAAGTAACGGAAGATCTTGGTCTGCCAAATCCCTTCCATCACAGCCGTGTGGGTTCGCATTCCGCTTTGATTAGGTGGGAGGTGGAAAACGATTCCCCTATGATCGATTCGGAAATAACAATAACGGTAAAGTTGGAAACTCGCATCGTACTAGAAGAGCCGGTGTTGGCGCATGAACGCGATGGAGAAGTCAACATTGATGGGCTGACACCCAACACACCATACGAGGTTACCGTTAGGGCGACGAGAAACGGAGGCTTATTGGTGGATTTCACCTATCCCCTCCACACATTGTATGCGGGTATGTTATGATTTGTGTGTGAGTTCTGGGCGTGGCCTATTCATCGGATGCTATTTTCCATAAACAAATACCAGAAGGGTCATTGACTGCCACTTTTATGCAAAAGACACTGATTGCGTT